TAGCTGGCAGAGGACAGCTGACAGGTAGGAGTGTTCTTGGTCATTCCTTGATTAGGCTGTTGTTTACTGAGTTAATAATTCCTTGATTGTTTGCTACTTGGTTATTTATCTCTGCTCTTCTGGGGGTTGATTGCTGATCAGTAGGTGTCGTGGTCTTCTAATTTTTTTCTCCCTTTTGAATGGCATGTAGACATTATTATCACTATGTTCCTGTTGATGCTGGTTTATCTGAGTGCCAGGTTTCCAGGAATTCTCTAGTGTTTTTGATTTAAGTTGATCTAGGATGCTGTTTCCCAGTTGAAACTATGGTGAAGTCTGTCCACATGTTCAAAAATTAAGGAGTTTTCATTATGCTTTCAGACTCTGAGAGCAAGCCCCACTCCCTTCTAGCACTGATGATGTTACCTAGTTGGGTAATGAAATGTCTGCAAGAAAACCATCGAGTTCTGAGAGCACCAAGGACCCCCTCATATCAATCCTGAGCCACAAATATCCACTTGTATTAGAATCTTGAGGTCCTTTCAGAGTTTCTCTCTGCTCCATCACAATCAAGACAAGATTCTTTTGAGTTTCTTTCCCATGCTTTCCACTTTTCCAGTTCATCCACTTTTTCTTCTAGATTATCTTCCTTTATATGAAGAAAAGTGATTGGAATATTCAATTCCAACCTTAAATAAGCTTGACACATCTAAACACATAGCTTCCATTGTTTGATTGGCTGTATTCTTGGTGCCTCCCATAGCCGTGGACAGCGATGATCCTGCAGTTCAGACTTTCCTCCCCTCTAAAGCCTGTTGCACAGGTTTATTCTCTGTCCATTTTCGAAACATGCCTTTGCAATAGAATGCAATAGAAGCAAGCTTCTCTACTTGTGTTTCGGCTACACCCGTATTTCCCTCCTGCTGCTGCCTATCTTGCCTTCTGTCAACCATACCCTCATGCATTGCTGCTCTCAAGCAAAAGGAGAAAAAGAGAAGAACGTTATTTTAAGCTACTGAGTCTCCTTCTCATGCACTCATGATGGTGCCATTATTTGCCTCTGGGGCCTTATCTGTGCAATGATCTTCTGCTGGAGTGGGAAAATGTGGTGTCACACACCAGTGCTTTGGCACTGTTGTATGGGTAAAACTACTCATAAACCCTTCTGCTTTGTTCTTGTGATCTGAACACTTTTTGCCACTTCACAATACTTTCTTTTGTTCCTGCCTCTTTGCAGTTCAGTTTGTGTCACCTGCTCAGTTCCCATTTCTGCAGCCCACCACACACCAGCCATCATGGCAATCCACCATGCCAACACTCAGCTGGAGCCTCCATTAGGTGACCACATCAATGTGCCTCTAATCTTTGAGAGGCCAGGAGAAATGAAATGCGTGCTTTAGCCATCTGATAATGTGCAGAATAGCTTGAGGAAGATCTGGAAAAACCACATGCCTCTTTGTTGACCAAAATGAAATTAGGGGACCTTGTATGGACACAGGCAGATAAGATCAAAGGGCCATTAATCCACACTGCTTTGGAAAGACAGAATCCTCTAGCACTGAACCAATAATCCAGAAATCTCCGCAAACATCACACAGCCCAGACTTTCAAAGCAAAAACCAGGCATGGCTCAGAACAGGGCTGATATCCATTACAAATAAGGTAGAAATTTTACTCCTCAGTTGTTCATCTGCACACAGAAGGCCTAACTGATTCTTTCTTATTCCTCCATTGAAGATATTGACCAGTGTTTTTCAAAATTGGCAATTTTAAAGCGTGTGGACTTCAGCTACCAGAACTCCTCAGTCAGCATGAGATGACTGAGTTACACCCATCTGAAAGTTGTCAAGTTTGAAAAAGAATACCGGAGACTTAACTTTTCCCATTAAGGGCTTTCCAAGTATACTGGATCACACTTCCCAAGAATTCCCATGGTGGCTTGTTAGAGAAGCTGGCTGAAGTTATAGAAGAATAGCTACTACTTGAGCCATTCCTTAAAATTTGCTCAGGTAAAAGCAACCCATTAATGAATAAAAATACCAACTCCTCTTCCAGGTAGAATTGTCTGGCTCCAGGTGAATACAAGTAGTTCTTGACTTACGACCGATTGCTTAGTGACTGTTCAAAGTTACGATGGAGCCCCCCTACAAAAAAGATACTTAGAGCCTAAATTCAAAATTCCAATGGCTGCTCCTGCACCCAAGACCACGTGATCATATTTGGAGCACTTGGCAACCGCCCTGCATTTAAGCTGTTTGCAGTGTTCTACGGTCACACAACTGTGATTTATGCCAGATGTATGGCATTTACTTCTAATTTCTGAAAAAAAAGTCCCATTGCAGATGATGGGTTTGTTTGATGACAGTTAAAAAATATGTCGTAAAATCAGGTCAGTCATGTGGATGCCTTGACTTACAACTGTTGTGACATACAATAGAAACTGTGGGCTCCATTACAATCATAAGTCAAAGGCTTACAATCCTGTCCTCAACGACAGCAGTCCCCAACCTTTGCAGCTTGGTGGCCCGGGGTGGGGGGAGGCATGAGAGGGAGCAAATTGAGCTGCACATGCACACACACACATGTGCTCCGGCCCACCACTGACGTTGCCCAGTTGCGAACTGACTGTGGCCCGGTAGTGGGCTGCAGCTTGGAGGTTGAGGACCCCTGCTCAAAGAATTAACCTTTTATCTTTTGGAATGATTTGATGGATTCTGTTTTTAAACGTATTATTTGTAAACCATACAGAGTGTAAATACCAGGGCATCACAATGCTTGAATTTTTTTCCAACGTCTTTAAGTGAATGGAGTCTAACATCCTACAACAAGTGAACACCACAGGAGAGTATGCAACCAGAAAGGAAAAAAAATAAAAATAAAAAAAAATCTTTTCTATTTGATATGACAACATTAGCTCACATGTTTTACTTGTCATAAAATGTTTATATCTTACTTCCTCTTACTTGGTTTCTTAACTTTGCTGCTAGCTCTAATGAAGGCTTTGTAAATTCTACATGGGTGCAATTTTACTTTGCAGCGAAAATCCTTTTAAACTGATTGGTGGAACACCCTCCTAGATTTTAATCTCACCTCATCCTGGAAAGTTCTTTTTCTAAAAAATAAATAAGTAAGTACATACCTACTGGGTCCAATCAAAGAGACTACCAAAAGAAACCCTTGCTACCTTTTAGCAGCCATCCTGAGTTGAGATACCTTTTGCATGACAGTTATCATGTGACCCTCCCCTCTGGAGAAGGGAGTCCAAAGTGTGTGATTGTGCACAAAAACAGGGTGGAGTTTCAATCACACTATGGCCACCATCTTGACCTTTTTGAACCTATCCTGTGGACATCCCATAGGATGGGGTGGTATAAAAGCAATATCATTATCCCACTGTTGTTCCTCAACAAATGGGAAGTTATAAACATTTTGGAAAGAGTGGACCGCTGGTTTGAAAGGGGAGTCCAAGAGGCCATCTATGTCAAAACTGAACAGCCGTCCCTCAACAGAGGGGGAGGGATATGACATCATCTATCTCCAGTCTATAACACAGTCTTTTCAGCAGTTCCAAGAGGCCCCACACCCATTTGCACTACTCAAGTGACCCTGAGGACACAGATAAACCTCCAAGTGGCCTCAATGACTCTAAAAGAATGCTACTGTCCAGCTGTCTGCAAGGAATATCAATCCTTCCACTCCCCACCATCCAGTCAGAGCTGAAGAAGCTTCTTGGATGAGAAGCCAAACGTCTTCAAAGACAAACAAGGAAGTCCACTTGCCTCTTGATAAAACACCTTGACACGCCTGAGTGTAGATATTGTAGACTTTGCCTTATGTAGCAGAATCAAGGCTGTGTATCTTGAAAAAGAAATATTGTTTGATAGATGGTTTAGTTGGGCAGGCAGTGATGTGAGAAGATATCAAAGAAAATGTTTTTAATTGAAGGTTTAAAAAAAATAGAATTTCATTCTCAGACTCTGGCCACCCTATAACACCCTCCTGCTTTTGTACAGAAATGAATGGATTGAGAGATAAACCTAAATCGCTCTTTTGAATTCATCCTTGTTTGCTGCCCATTGGGGAAATGAACACAAAGGTTAAAATAGATACAGGCTCTGAAGACTGATGAATCTCTTCTCCCAGAAAACTACCTTATTCCAGACTAGGCTTGCAGATGAGCTACAACTCTCAATAGCTCCACCCAGCAAGGCCAATCTGGTAAAGAATGATGGGAGCACCAGATCTGGATTGTTACCCTTGGGCAGGGGTAGGCAACCTTGGCTCTTTTATGACTCATGGACTTCAACTCCCAGAATTCCTGAGCCAGGAATACAGCCAATCAAACCTATGCTGGCTAAGGAATTCTGGGAGTTGAAGTCCATGAGTCATAAAAGAGCCAAGGTTGCCTACCCCTGCCCTTGGACATTTGTGGTGGTGCAGTGGTTAGAATGCAGTATTGTAGGCTACTTCTGCTGACTGCTGACTACCGGCAGTTCGATTCTCACTGGCTCAAAGTCGACTCAGCCTTCCATCCTTCCAAGGTCCGTAAAATGAGGATCCAGATTGTTGGGGGCAAGATGCTGACTGTGTAAACCACTTAAAGAGCGCTGTAAAGCACTGTGAAGCAGTATAGAAGTCTAAGTGCTAATGCTATTGTTTATTCAGTACACTCTTTTCTTCTTGTGATGTGAAAATACGGAAAATTCTTGAAAATATGAGGCACTGCTATGCAGTTGAGCAAAGCATCAACTAAATTCTGTTATAACTCAGTGGCTAAGAGACGAGGCTTGGAGTGATGAAGGAAAAAAAATATCACCTGGTGCCTTTGCGGTCCAATCTACCTTGCAGGGTTATTTAATTGCCAATAAAATAAGAGACCCTCCCCATATAACCTTCAGCCTTTAAAGGAAAAGTGGGTTATTACAGGCAGCCATCCATTAATCTGAAATCTGGGGTATGGGCCCACTTTCAATTGCTCACCCTCTCCCAGGCCAAGTATCTGTGAAAAGCCACATCCCTACCTTAGTTGTTCCCCTGTCAGAAGAACCTCCGCCATGCACTCCAGCTCAGCTGCCCTCTGTTGCAGGGTGCCCAGGCTATTTTCTTCCATTGTTGCAACCAGCCTGGCCAGAAACACACACACACACACACACACACACACACACATACAGAGAGAGAGGAGAAGATGAAAGGTGCATTTTTAGTCTGGGTGCATTTTTCAGCATCCCAAAGCTTGCACATGCTCCTTTTCAGAATTCCCGCCCCCCCCCCCCAGTCTCTGACTTTAGACTCAACCTTAGCGGTCTAACAGGGCTCCTCTTTAGGTGGTGGCCACTGTGTCAAACCTATACAAGCACCCGCCGCCGGGCAATCAGGAGCCCTGTCCTTGAATGGAACCTTAGACTTCCAGACGAGGCCTTGATGTCGCTGGGTTCTAGGAGGCACCAGGGCACATGCCAGCGCCCCCCCCCCACCGCCTCGCTGGGCTCCCCCTGCCAACTTGCTTCTCCGGCTGCCTCCCCTCCCCAGAGCTTACTCTGCGCCTTTTTTTAATTACCAGTTCTCCCCAGCCGGCCTTATGTAGCAGAATCAAGGTTGCTTGATTGCTGCCGCTCATTATAATTGGCAGCCTCTCCGCGCTTTCCTGCCATTCACCCGAGAAGCGCTTCTCTCGGACACGCGGCTTTCCCCCGGTTGCGCACCCACCCCACCCCCTGGATCCATCCCGCAGCACCCCGAATGCGCGCAGCTCTGGATCCCTTGAGCTCCCATCGCCTCGGCCGCGCAAAGGCACGCCCCCCCGCCCCGCCCCGCCGCAAAGGAAAACAAAAACAAGCAGCCACCCCCATCCACCGGCCACCCATCTGGCATTTGACAACGCCACGGGGGTTACAGACCGGGTTTGGGTGGGCGAGGGGAACATCCTGACATGCGGGGTTTCCCTCCTATCCCCCCCCACCCCAGTGTTTTTTAGCGGACTCACCTGGATCGGGAAAGTGGCTCTCCCCAGGGCGATCCAAGGGGCGCAGCTTCCCCCGAAGCCTTCCTTGTTGTTGTGTGACAGGCAGGCTGCGAATGGCACGTGGTTGCAGCAAAGCGCAGCCTGGCCGGCAGCGTCCCCCTCCGTCCGGCCCGGCGGCGAGGGGCTTCGCTGGGGCTGAAGGCGTGCGCTCGGTACCGGCGGCTGCACGGGAGCCAATTCGCCTCAAGGTCGGGCGGGGAGGGGCGATGGGAAGCATGGGGAGGGTGGGTGAGTGGGAGGGAAACAATCGCTCCGCGGTTAGCAACACACCGAAGAACGCCGAAGCGGACAAGTGAGTGGAAAGGAGGCGCTTCTGGAGCGCGTTGCCGCCGCCCCCCCCCGCCCCTCTTGGCCGCCTGGATTCAGTCTTCTTCCTCCCATACAAGGAGGAGGGTTGGAGCCCCGGGAAGCGGCCCAAAGGGAAATCAATACGAAGCAATAGCAGCGGTTCCTGTTTTAAAAGTCGCAGAGATGCCCGGCCAAGCGGGGCCTCCAATTTCTGGGTCCGCCGGGAGAGGCTTCGAGGCGTCCTGGATCTTGGGTGATTTGCACCGCTGCTGGCAGTTTTTGTTTTTTTGCGGAGCAACAAAGGAAAGGAGTAAAAATGAACCCTTTCCATGCGGCAGGTGCTCGTTTCCCACTCGGCTTGTTTGTGTGTCCAGCATGGTCCGGTTATTGGGGGGGGAGGGACCTATGACCATTTTTCACAGTTACCTTTGTAGAATTCCCCCATGATCATGTGATCAAAATTCAGATGCTTGGCAACTGGTTCATACTTATGACCCTTGCTGTGTCATGTGATCACCTCATGCGACCTTTTTGAAGAACAAAGTCAGTGGGGAAGCCAGATTCACTTAACAACCCAGTTACTAACTTATCAGCTGTAGTGATTCACTTAACAACTGTGGCAAGAAATGTTGTAAAATGGGGCAAAACTCCCTTAACAAATGTAGGGAGCTAAGCATCCTTTCTCCAAAACAGCCAGGTTGGTGGTTTGGTTAATGGGACAAGCCAAGGTCTAGTCCAGTATTTCTCAACCTTGGCAACCTGAAGATGGGTGGACTTCAACTGCCAGAATTCTCCAGCCAGGTCATGTTGGCTGGAGAATTTTGGGAATTGAAGTCTATCCCTCGTAAGGTTGAAAAACACTGGTCTAGTTTATGTTCGACCAGTGGGTGATTTTGGGGCCAGTTATTTTCTCTCCCCCCTCCTACCTCACAGGTCAAAAAGAGTGGAAGGATCAATCTATATATCCTGCCTAGTACTAGTGTACAAAAAGCAGAATAGAAATATAATAAATTGGTGTTTTTCCGGCATTGAAGGATTTCATCACTTGGGTAAGAATCTCCAAGGTTGACTTTTGGTAACCACATGAACACATTTATGAGCAATGAAAGGTGTTTATTTATTCCGTTTATATGGTTGCCCATTTCACATGCATGATTCTGTTCTGCTGCTGCTCCTATCACAGATGGTTTTCAAACTTTCTAATAAAAAGAAAGTAAATATAGGAGGAGGTTCAGAGTTATGCTCTTCTTTCTGTCACAGCAGAACAGACTAGGTGGGTGTGGAAACTAAGAAATGAAAAACAAATTTGAAAATGGTTGAAGAGGGGGCCATTAAAAATGTCCCCAGTGCATCCATAGGGCAGAAGCAAGGGGACAGGGATGTAAAATGTGGCCATCAGCTTTAATCTAAGCCAGTGGTTCTCACCTTTTTAATGCCGCGACCCCCAACTGGTCATAAGTCGAGGACTACTCAACCGGTCGTAAGTCGAGGACTACTCAACTGGTGCAGCACCGTTTGCAGAATGGGACTTTTGGCGGGCTCAGCAGGGCAGAGACAGCCTGGACAATTCCTATTGGCTTTTGAAAGCCAATAGAATTAGACTCTATTCAAGAGAGTCTATTCTATTGGCTTTCAAAAGCCAATAGAATAAAAGAGAATAGCACAGCTAAGGAAAAGGGGGAAAAAAATGGCGGACTGCGTTGTTTGGCAACCCCCGTGAAATGGTCGTTCGACCCCAAATGGGGTCCCGACCCACAGGTTGAGAACCACTGATCTAAGCCTTCTTATCAAAAAATCTCAAGCTAAGCCTGCTATTAAGCAGTTAAAAACCACTTACTTTGACCTTCCAGTTTAGTCTATAGTCTAGATCAGATGGGTGGCAGACAAATCTAATAAATAAAATTCCTAATGGCCTCTCACCCAAGCAACATCCGATCTGACCCAGATTAGGTTTCTGAAATTTGCAAACGTTATCTGTGCACTGCGAGACCTAGCTCAGTACCCTTTTAAAGCAGCTTCAAACAAAAGTGTTCAGGGTGGGTTTTTTTTTTCTATAATTCCCAAAGTTTGATTAATAGCTGCCATCCTATGGCAGGTTTTGTTTGCGGGTTTTGCATTTTGTGAAGTTAATCTGGTTTTTCTTGCTCAAGATTTCCAGTTCAACATTTTCATTGTCGTGTTTGACAAATCTGCTACAAATTCCCAAAACGAAAAGGAAAGAGATGGAGAAAAGGTTTGGCCTACAGCAGTGGTTCTCAAGCTGTGGGTCGGGACCCCATTTGGGGTCGAATGACCATTTCACGGGGGTCACCAAACCATGCTGTCCACCATTTTTTTCCCTTTTCCCTAGCTGCCCTACTCCCTCTTATTGGTGGCCACACCCACTTGGGGGTCACCACAACATGGGGAACTATATTATGGGGTCACGGCATTAGAAAGGTTGAGAATCACTGGCCTACAGTATTCTAGACCACAGACTTTCATCAGTTTTCAAAAGAGTAAAGTGCTTTACTATATAGCTTTAAAATCACAGCATGATGTCAGTTTACACTATATTAATTTAATTAAATAGGTTTCTTAAGTGAGCTTTTCAGTAATTAAAAAGTCCTGGATGAAGTGTTGCCTTGTGCTACATATCATATACTACTTGATTCCTAACTATCCATAATATGACAAATAAATAAATAATAGATAATATCGTTCTTTTACTAATGGCATTGCTATGTTCATGTTTTTTTCTTTCTCCTTGTAACATCAAAGAAGCATTAAGTTATCCTTCAAAAGTTACCAAATATTTTAAAAAATGTAAAATGTGTGATATTTATGCAATAAAAAGGAGAATATTACATATAATAAATCAAGTTATAGCAATCAAAACAGAAATTACAACTTGTATAGAGTGTTGATGTTGGTATTTATAAACATGTACATATGGACATAATTCTAGTCATGTTATTTATTGAATTCATTGGCAGCCAATAATAACAACAACAACAACAACAACAACAATAATAATAATAATAATAATGGATAGTGGATGTGGCAGTGCCTGGTGACAGCAGAATAGACGAGAAAGAACTGGAGAAGATAACAAAGTACAAAGACCTACAAATAGAAATAGAAAGACTGTGGCAAAAGCAAGCAAGAGTAGTACCAATAGTAATAGGTGCCTTGGGTGCAATCCCAAAACAACTGGAGCACCACTTGAACACCATTGGCATTGACAAATTCGCTATTAGTCAATTGCAAAAGGCAGCCTTACCAGGAACTGCTTCCATCCTGCAACGATATTTGTAATACCATCAAACATCCACATCTGCCTATCCCAGGTCCTGGATAAGGACTCGATAGGTAGACAAAATGCCAAATCCAGTCTGAACATCTGGCTGACTATGCGATGATCCATAATAATAATAGAGTTGCATGGGACCTTGGAGGTCTTCTAAATCTAGACCAGCGGTTCTCAACCTATGGGTCGCGACCCCATTTGGGGTCGATTGACCATTTTTCGGGGGTCGCCAAAGGCGGCGATCCGCCATTTTCTCCCCTCCGGGGGCGGCGCCGCACAGGGGCACCCCGCGCATGCGCGCCACGCATGGGAGCCCCCCGCATGCACGCCACTCATGGGCCCGCCTCTATGCACGTTGCGCATGCGCATAACGTTTGTGTGACGGGGGTTGCCGTCACACAAACGTTGAGAACCGCTGATCTAGACCAACCCCCTGCTCAGGCCCTATACCATGTCAGAGAAGTGGCTGCTCAGTCTTTTATTAAAAACTGGAGCATTCACAATTTCTGGAGGCAGGTTGTTCCACTGATTAATTGTTCTAACTGTCAGGAAGTTTCTCCTTAGGTTGCTTCTCTCCTTGATCAGTTTCCATCTGTTGCTTTTTGCACAGGGTAACTCCCTAAACTAAAATTTAATTTGCATTACTCCTTAAACTGAAATACAGAATAATATCTTAATTTCATGTAACGAAATCAGAAAAATAATTCAGCAATATTGTCTTTCTTTAAATTTTATATGCTGTGTTTCGACACTTCACAGTAGTCTAAATAACCGAGGAAATCCAGTTGCCGTTGGAAAAAGCACCTTTGGGATTTCAGAATGGATTCACCCTGGTTTCTGGAAAGTAAACATAAAGGAGGTGCAATGGTATGTGAGAGTGACCTTGAGGTACTGGGCAAAGAAATGCTGTCAAGGGAACAGTCAGATAAACAACACTGAGGTTGGCCTTACAGGACATACCAGATAAGAAACGCAACCAAATCAGCTTACTTTATTGTAAAGTTACAATGATAGAATCTTGCAACTCTGAAAGTATGTTTCTCCTCTCCCCATCTCCTTTATAGGCCCCAAAAGTAGAGTCTCTTCTGAGCCTCTTGCCCAGCCCACTATCCAACTACAGGCTATGCTATCTCTTATCTGACTGTTCCCTTGGCAATGTCTCTTGACCCAGTTTGCCAAGGCCATTCCCATATACCATTACAGAAGGGAAGAAATGCTTTTCAGATATGCAAGATTCTGTTACCGTAACCTTATAATAAAGGTAGTTTTATACTCATAGTTTTGCTTCTTGTCTGGATTACCCTGAAAGGCTGACAATCACTTGCCCAGGAGAGGATGTGCTGAGTTTTCTTCCTTGGCAAGTTAAGGGTAGGAAGGAATTGGAAAGAAGCTTTTTGTATAGCTGTTTCGCCTTTTAAAATCTGCCTTTGGGGACTCATAAGGCCCTATTATTTTGTAAGGAAACTAAGACCTGATCCTTTAAGACAGGGGTGGCAAACTCAATTTCATTGGGGGCCGCATCAGCATTGCAGTTGCCCTTGGGGGGCCGGGTGGGTATGCCCAGGGTGGGTGCGGCCTACTGGATGGGTGTAGATGGAGTGGGTGTGGCCTACTGGATGGGTGTGGCCAGCTCTACATCATTCGCATCAAGGGTGCCTGTGGGGGC